TGACCCAGTACGGCCGTTCTTATGTTCTTAACAGGTGGAGTAGCTCCAAGCTTATACATTCACACACAAGGTTGCCAGGTATTTTACCAGGACTGTAATGACCAGCAAATAGGAGTTTTATACTTTGTCCAAGGGGTGATGCCAGGGGTCAGGACTGTCACAAGGGGTCTGCTTGAAAGGCCAGGCTGTGTTCCCTTCCCTGCCGGGGGCTGGGCTCAAGGGTTGCTTCCCAGGGCGGCCTCCTCACGGCCCTCACTGCAGACAGCCAGTCGCGCTGAGCTGCCCTCTCGCCCCTCCGAGGCCCGCGTGGCCTGGGGAAGACGGAGGAGAGACCTGGCCACACAGGCTGTCGTGGGACAGAAACTGTCTCTCTCTGCCCAGCTGGAGGCCAGTGCCCGTGGCTGTGTGGGCGAATGCCTGATCCTGTTCAGAACAGTCCAGTGTATGGGGGGCACTGAGCTGGGTTCTCACCCTGGCTCTGCCACTGACCAGTTGAGTCTGTTCCCCTCCTGCCTTGTGCTCTCTACTCTCATAGACTCATAGACTTTAAGGTCAGAAGGAACCATTATGATCATCTGTCTGACCTCCTGCACAACGCAGGCCACAGAATCTCACCCACCCACTCCTGTAACAAACCCCTGACCTATGTCTGAGCTATTGAAGTCCTCAAATCATGGTTTAAAGGTCTCACTGGGGCGGGGAGCGTCTCCCTCTCAGGATCTGTGCAGCACCCAGCCGGGGAAGGGGGACATCCCTGGGTGGAAAGAGGCACTTGCCTTTCATGCCCAAGATGCTCTGGAATTACTCCAGTCGAGGGAGCCTGGACCAGCCTTTAGTGCTGTCACCTGGCTGTGTTCTCTGGGCCCCGCAGCTCTGAGGTCAGTGGATGGGGACGTGTGAAATGCTCCTCTCGAATGCATGGACCTAGGGTGACCAGATAGCAAGTGGGAAAAATCGGGACAGGGGGTGGGTGGTAATAGGATCCTATATAAGAAAAAGACCCAAAAATCAGGACTGTCCCTATAAAATCGGGACATCTAGTCACCCTAGATGGACCAGCTGTAGTGGGCCTGGCTGCTGGGTTGGCTACGCTGCGTGGAAACCCAGCTGGCGTTCTAATGCGAATGGTATTTGAGGTTTCCTCTGAGGCAATCAAAAGCCAAACAGTGGGCAAACGTGACCTGGTGAAGCCTCTCAGCACACCTGTGAGGCAGTGGGGAAACTGAGGCACAGAGAGGTTTGAGCTAGAAATCGCACCGAAGAGCCCCAACTTGCATCCCCTGCTCTAGCCAGCAGGCCCCAATGCCAACTGCCAGTCTGCAGCCTTCTGGGCTAGGAGCACTCCTTGCTGGGGTCATGTTATCCTGCAGTGATCCCGGCAGGGAGACGGTGGTTCCCAGCCTGGGGTCTGCAGGACACTCGCTGGTGGCTGCAGAGAGCTGGCTGATCACATGGGGCTGGGTCTTTCTCCTGGCTTCCAGCTGTTACTCACACTTGCTGCAGAACTAAAAATATGCCCACTCCTTTACCTTCCCCCAGAAACAGCTGCTGTAGTAGCCCCTGTGACTGGGAGGGCGAGTGGCAGAGGAAGGGACAATCTCTCTGTTAGGGTTTGGTTCATTAATTAACCAGGAAAAGAGCAATAGTAAAACTAATGGCAAGGATCACTGCGTTCAAAGGAGCCATCTGGCATGTGCATTTGCAGTTAACTTTAACTGGGGTGTAGCCCTTTCTCCAAGAAAGCCCTGGCTGGTTCTTGGATGCACCCGTGCTTGTTATGAGAGGCCCAGGGTTAGGGACCCTGTCTAAGCTGGGGATCTCCGGCCAAGGGAAGAAATTATATCCGTGCATCCATCACTGCAGCTGTCGGTATCCGCTGGCTGGGTGAAATACCATTGCCAGGAGCAAAAGCAAAATGCTCAACATTCAGTGACATTGGTAAGATCCTAGGCACGAGGGATGGTTTGGTCTAGTACGTCCCAGCTAGTCCACCTCGTGCACTGTCCCGCCCAGTGCCTGGTCCGGCCCAGCCTGCTGCCCCGCCACGAGTTGCGTCGTGGTCTGGGGACCCAGCATCCTCACTCTGGTGCCGCATCGCACCATAAAGACACAGATGTCCAGCACTTCTCTGGTATGCTCAGAAGAAGGTGGCAGCCCAGCTCCAGGCAGCAGTGAGGAAATAACCCCACGGGGAGAGCGAACAGGAGGCTGGGGGTGTCACCCAGGAGGGGATGTCTCACCTCCTCTCTGACCCATTGTCCCTGCTACATAGGTCCCTCCCTTTGCACTTTTCAGGCTGGAGGGGATGGCGGGAAATTGCAAACCAGCCGGAGGCTGGATAACAGCCCTGCCGGGCTCATGGGTTCCCAGCGGCCTGCCCCTTTCAGCCACTGTCTCCATAGCTCCTCTCCTCGACTTCCACCCCTTGTGCTGACCCCAGCTCTGAGCAGACCTCTCCTGACCCGTGCCCGGCATGCGTGTCCGGTGGGTCGCTAGGCCGCGGGAGTTGTGCACATCAAGCCAATGACACAGGCTCCCGGCGTTACCCGCTGTGGCCAGCAATTCTGGGAGAGGGTGAGGCTGGGTTGCGTCCTGCTGCTGGGAAGTTAAGAATCAGGCTTTTCCAGTTTTCCTGGCGTTCCTGGGGCTTGTTGAGGCAACGCAGTGGCTTTCCCTCGGAGCACCTCTGACTCCGGCCCAGCTCCCTCCCCGTTCCCATGCGGCTGCTCACTCCTGGAGCTGCGGGCTGGGGACTGTCAGGCTAGCAACGCCCAGCGATGCGGGGAGGATGGGCTGGGATCCATCCACCCTGGGTGGCCAGGTCCCCTTTGCTCTAGGCTGAGGGGAGAGCAGCCGTCCTGCCTTGTGCGAATGGTAGCATGGAGACTAAACTGGGCCTAGGGTGACCAGACAGCAAGTGTGAAAAATCAGGACGGGGGTGGGGGGTAATAGGAGCCTATATAAAAAAAACCTCCAAATATCAGGACTGTCCCTATACAACTGGGACATCTGGTCACCCTAACTGGGCCCTCACAGCTGGGTCACATGGACGGGGAGTTGTGCAAGGAGAGCACGAGCTGGTTCTGGGGCTGAGCAGAGGCCTCCCCTCTCCAGGCCGACCCAGGAGAGCCTGAGGGTCAGATCTGTGCCGCCTGGCGCTTGGCAGCAGTTCTGCCAGCTGTGAGCGGGCCCAGAGCCCCGAGCATTGCTCGGACCCCGGGCTAGCGCCGCCCCCGGGCAAGGGGAGAATGTCTGTGCCGTCTGCTGCCCACAGCTTTGTGAAATGCCGAAGGGTCAGAATGGGCCCTGGTGCTTTGCCGCCTTGGCGGCTGACGTCTGCGGTGGCTAGGCCACGTGCCTGCTTGGAGGAGGGCGTCGGGGGAGAGCCTACGGACGTGTGCGTCTCCTGGCACTTGTCAACACCTCAGCTCCCATGAGCAGGCCAGGCTGCTTCCAGCAGGTGCCAGCTTCCTTTGTAACGTTTCCAAAGCCCCCTGGGTCTCTTTTCAAACACGTTTATCAGGTGGGGGCCCCCTGCTGGAGCCCCCAAGACACTCTGTCCCCCCAACCAGGGCCATGCATGGGGGGTGGAGGTGCGACCAGCTGAGAGCGGCTGCAGGGGACAGATGCAGAGAACAGACCCGAGGGCCTCGGCCCCACCAGCCTGGCACCTGCGCATTCTTGCTCACCGGTGTGTTTCTTCGCTCCGCAGGCCCTGGAGGTGCTCACCTCGGCTGTGGAGTACGGGCTGGACGACCTGAGGAAGGTAAGGCCCTCGCCTCGCCGCCTGAGCTGCCTCTTGTTAAATACACGGGTGCTGGGGGGACAGGACGGTCGGGTGAGGGGCGGTGATGTCCGGCGGGCCAGGGACTGCACATTTAGCCCGGTGGGGGTGGGAGCGAGTGGGTGTATTTCTGTAGGTCGACATAGGGGGCACGTCACCCCAGCAATGCAGATTGGCACCATCGGAGGGCTGGGCCGGTACCGTGCCAGGAGGGACCCAGCAGGAGCGGGTGATTGTGTTCCTCGGTCGCAGGCTTGTTCTTACACCTCGGATTGTACAGCTCTAGAGGGAGCTGAGGGCAGGGGAATGGGACCAGTAGCTGCTTTCAGCAGGTCGCTGGAGACGGTTAAGGGTGCAGGGAGGTAATGTCTCAGGGCTGTTTGTTGCCATCTGCTTCCACCCTGCCGGCGATTGTCTGGAATCACTGCAGAGAAAGCAGCCAGGCCAGTGGGAACGGACAGCTTAGGGACTGGCCCTGTGGGTGCATTGCATTGCGGGACTTTGTAGTCAAGGGCCAAGGCTGCATGAGTAGACTTTGGGCGACTCTATTTCTGGGCAAACGGGGCAATGGGAGGCTCATTCTCTGTGCTCAGTCCAGCAAACGGAGCCGAGTTCCCCGACGTGATCTCAGCGGAGCCCGTCGGCGCCCCTGGGCAGCTCAGAAAGTGCAGAGGTTATGAAAAGTTACAGCAGAACCTCCGAGTTCCGG